GGAAAACTGCCATAGGTTCTAAAATACCCCTGTTGTAAACAGTGACTTTAGATGGCAAACAAAGTTTGGTGCCTGAGAGAAAATCATTCAAGCTCACTCAAAGGGACTTTCCAATAAAATAAAATAACTGGACCACCGGTAGTCACTGTGATGCCAACTCGATAGCTGGAATCGAGAATCCGATACCCACAACCAGGAGTTGGTTGCCAACGACCGGACACTTGTACGAATGAGGAAGTTGCCCGATAAGAGGATCAAGAGGTGAACAGCCGTAGGCGGCGAGGATAGGCGTACCCAGAGACCTGCATCGGGCGGGTTGTCGGGTAAAACGGGCCCGTTGATGTGAGCTGGACTCAGCCGTCGTCGTCTGTCGCTGGACACACGCCGCCCGCTCGCTGGCCCAGTGCGTGTCTGCCTTTGTCTCACTCATTTAGATGCCATTGGGAGTGACAAAGTGACAGACTGGCGCCGGCGACCGAGAACCGAGCAAAGCTAGTCCGGCGGTGACAGCGGCTGAGGCACCGCCACATCCATCTCTCTTACTCTTTTTGTCGAAGAGCTCGTATGCGTGTGGCCGAAGCAGGCGCTCGAGTTTGCGACCCCTAGCGTATCAGCCTGCTGTACGGCGAGCGGGCCGCCGGCTTCACTCAGCTGCTTGGCGGGCTGGCCTACCCTGCGCGTTGCAGGCGCTCTGGGGGGACCCTGGAGAGTAGGGGCGTATGTCGCTAGCGGGCAAGGGCCCGTCGCAGAGGCCCTTGTACGTTGTTGTACGCGGCGTGCCCAGCTGGCTCCCCCTCTCTTCTCGTTGCGCTTGGGTTTACGTTTTTTGTGATTTAAGGATTCGCACCTTCTGATGTTTTGATTGTCGTAACGTCCGCGGACCGGGTGGGTTGCCTGCCCTCCCAGGGCGTGTTCGAGGGGTTGCCTAACTTCCAGTTATGGTTAGTTCAGTTATTGTATGAGATTTGGATATGATTTGGATATAAATATGTAGTTGTTTTGTATTCTATAGTCTTTGAGAACGGCTCCCATTCAGTTTTGTGTTGAGCACATGTATTTAGATCTTTATAATTCGACCGCCAGCAGCGACTTCTCGCTCTTCTGTAAAGTCTTCAGTGTTATGATATCATTGTATTCAATACCCCGGTAAAACAAAGGTGTGACTTAACACCTTTCCAGGGGTGTTACAGTTATAAAGTCGTTTACGTTTTAGTTTTCCCGAAATATTTTCTGATGAAGCAAACCAAGGTTTGTAGGACTTATGTTTTCGTACTCATCTACAACTTCCGCTTCGATCAAGCCTACATGTGTGAAAGGGTTCATATCCCAAAGGAAAGAAATGTACTAGATTCCTGAAGGTCAGTTACTTCTTTCGCTGTTCTTCAGACACACCTCATATGTAGGCTCGTTCGAAGTAGAATTTTGAGCTGAATGCGAAAATATAAGTTCCACAAACCTTGGTTTGCTTCAGAAGAAAATATTTCGTAAACACTAAAACGTTAACGCCCTTCGAACTTTAATGCCTTTGAAAGGTGTGATATCACACCTTTGTTTTGCCAGTGTGAACATTTTACACTGTGCTACATTGTTCGTGATGTATTTTGAAGAGATAATATAATTTATTTCTGGCGCGTGTGTACAACAATGCAAAGACCCACGCCACGCTACCTATTCGAGAAATACTGAGCTAGTTGGTGTTGCTACTAGCCTGGCAAAAAGTGCACGTCACAAAATGATACAATATAATATCTGACAAGGATTTTTTTATTTAAAAAATGAATAGGTAGGTTGTCTGGAAGAATCGTGACAGAATAAATAACATATTTAATTTTCAGTGGTTGTTTAGGCGAGGAAGGCTGAGTACAGAAGTCTTGTCACAAAACCAACTTCTTATCTTTTCATTTTGCAAGTAAATATGTCAAAGTCATCATACTTAGGGGCAGTTCACAGAATACGTTACCCCCTTTTTTTGGGGAGGGGGGGGGGGCAGAGGGGTAGCCGAATTTGTGACTAATTGTGACAACGGGGGTGGGAGGGAAAAGGGGGGGGGGGTAGGAGGGTACAAGATCTCTGTGACGTCACACCTTGACTGACTTCCTGCAAAACTATGATTATTTTCGAAGGCATTTAGTGAGCTCTGACAAGGGAAGGTTTTCCGGTGATACTGTCAGATTTCAAAGGCGCTTTAAAGAGTAATTGTTTGCACCTCTAGATTAGGATTGGCACTGGTTTAAGCTGCCCGTAGGGAGTTGGGGGGTCATTTTACAAGAATGTCATCAAAAATTTTCCAAATTCATCGGTTTTTTGCTATCTTTGCATACACATATCTCCGAAACCCTTTGAGCTACAGCGCCCAGATTTTGCAGGTAATTATCCTTCAATTAGTACTTTCCATGAAAAATATTTGAACCAAATCAATGGTGTTCACCAAAAGGTGCCTAGGGTCGCAACCCCCTCTCCGGACCCGTTTTTTGCGACCCTAATCGATTTCGTTCAAATTTTCTACAAGTAAAGAACGTCCTAAATTATGATTTCCCTCAAAATCTGGGCGCTGTAGCTCAAACAGTTCTTGAGATACGTGCATGTAAAGTTAATAATCAGGCTAAAAAGTTTGGCCAATTTTCAATTAAATTCGCGTAATACGACCTTCAAACTCCCTACGGGCAGCTGAATCCAATGCACAACCTAATCTAGGGATGAAAACAACAACACTTTGAAGCGCCATTGAAATCTGAGTGTATCACCGGAAAACCTTCCCTTGTGAGCCGCGCGATTAGCGAGATCTAGCGACGGGAGACGGAACTTCCGCATAGTTGTAGTTCCTCTGTATCAGCCCTAACGTCCCTAGAACATGTAAATGTCGTCATTCAATTCATTACCAGGGATCTAATATGGGAAGATGTGACGTCACAGGGGGAGGGAGAGTGAGTCAAAATCGTAACTCACTGTGACAATAGGTCGAAAAATGGCCAAAAAGGCGTGACATATATTTTGTAAACTGCCCCTTAGCATGGCTTTTATTTTGACACAGGAAAGTTATTTACTTATTGGAACACACATGGAATCATCATTTCTTACATCTAGATAATATCGGCGCTAACAACCTGCTCTTTAGAACTAGCATCCCTTTATTCATTATAGTTGGAGCCAAAATTAACATTAAAAACTTGATTTTAACTATATGTTGATGACCCAATCCATTTGTTCTTTAAAAATCAACAAAGAATCGTACTAACTGATTTTTAACAGAGTCCGAATTAGAGGTAATGTAACAATTTACCCTTAAAAGAGACGTTTTCCGTCTAAGTGTTCCTTTTTTCAGGTCAGATATAGTGAAAATCTTTCCTTTTAAAGAAATGAATAAAAAGTTCTTTTCATAGTCTGTCCCTATCATTGCATTCAAAAAGTTAGCACCAGCGATTTCAAGTCTTTGTCGGCAGGCGAGACACCACCGGCTCACACCGAGATCTCCTGGATCTGGACGCGCTTCTTGGGCGGCCTGGGGTTGGTCGAAGAGGACCCGAGCGGGCCCAGGGGCGGCGGCACGACGATGGGCGGAGGGCAGACGACCCGCGGGGGCGGCGGGCCCGGCACGGGTATGCCGGTGTAGCGAGGGGGCACCACCTGCAGCACGTCCAGGGGCCCGTTCTACGGGACAAACACAGGTGGTAAGAACATGCACAAGTAAAGGGGGATACAGGGGGGATACAGGGGGATGCAAACAGTACTCTGTCAAAACAAAGCTAGGACTCTTGGGGATGCAATGCCGTTACAAAGGCGTTAAAAATTCGCACCACTGCAAAGGTATTAGAGCTGCTCAAAGGTGTTAAAGTTTTATGTCTATAGACAGTACTTTCTTCCCTGGGCATAAGCATTAAAATTTACCACCCTTAGAAATGCATTAGGTTCCCCCTTTGTTTTTCTAGTGTGCAAAGCCCTCCCCTCGCGTCTCCCACAGGTGTGCAACAGGCGGTCCCCTCACCTGCTTGGAGGCGCGCGGCAGCGTGGTGACCCCCAGCGCGGTGAGGGGCGTGGCCGCGGGCATGGCGTTGAGGCCCTCCGCGCTGAGGCCCTGGCCGAGGCCGCCGAGGCCCTCCTCCTGACTCGAGGCGCCCGACGTGCCCCCGGGGCTCGAGTCCTGCTTGCGGCGGGCCTGCCGCGCCTTGCGCGTGCGCTGGTACAGGATGGCGATCAGCACCACCACGTTGAGGACCAGCAGCAGCCCGCCCGCGCCCAGCGTCACGCCCAGTGCCAGGCTGGACCTGTGGGAATAAGAGCAGGGGAGGATTAGAGCGGTCAAATCAAATGCCTCTGCGGGTGAAATCCGTCAGAGTGAACACTAAAACAACTCGAACAACTACTGTTAAAATAAATCGCAGATGAGTCATTAAGTGCAGTATCGAGTGGCACTGGACTAGTCGGTGGCGTGAGTTGGCTCGCCCGTGAGGTAGGCCACTACACGTCCATCACACACGGGTGTCGGAAGGTTGCCTACCTCTAGGCGCCCGGTCCAACAACAGGACCAGTGGGGAAAAAGTGAAGTGCTTGTGTGCTGTTGCCTAGTTTACGTCAGGCTCCACGAGACATCCTCAGACATTATCACTACTGCTATCCATAGACTGTGACGCCACATTCAATCAATAACGTAAAGTGCGTAACAATGGTGAGAATGTCACGCAACATTCTTTAGAACGTGACAGTGACGTGACTCACCCTTGGCTCGCGCCTCATCGCGCCTCGACCAGTCTAACAGGCTGTGTGCATGGCATGTCACGTAGTAACGAATGTGACACTGTATTGTAACGAACAGTATACCCGATATTATTTCCCCAAACCATAAAAAAGCAATACAACAAAGCAGAAGGGCGGGCTAAAAAACAACAAACAACACGTAAGCCCCGAGGACGCACAGTGTGTGCAACGCAGGTGAACGAGACTCTTTGGGCGTGACGCGCGTCGCGCGACCTCGCACTGCTCGCACGGCACAATTCGCATTCGGCGTTGGCAAATATGAATAGAGCCAACGCCGTATAACCATTTTGGCGTGACGCCGCCCTCCTGCGCCCCCAGTTTACATAATATGGCACAGAGCACACAAACGGGACTGGACGAGGTCGATTGTCCGGCCCGGCCCGCTATCGGCGTGTCCAGGCACATCAGGAGCGCAGAGCTGTGCGGAGCTCCGGACCGGCAATATCTTTTTTCCGCTTTTTCCCTACACAACACACACACACAGGCTCAGAACTATTATTTGTTTCCACAATCATGATTTGCTTTCCGATCAGGCCCTCGTCGCGGGGAGAGAAGGAAGGGAGACGGGGTGGGGGAAACTCGAAAAAAAAGTGAACTTAAACAGAAATATACAAG